TAGTGTTACAACCAACATTTTGGAAATGTTTCCTTCCATTAAGTTAAGAATCTAATACTCACACTTCATATTTTCTAGAAAGACGCTAGTAGCCCAAGTTGCTGAATGTCTCTAATAACAATAACTAACTAATTAATTTTCTTGTTCAATAGTCGATTTTTAAACTTCTCGTTGTGTAATTGGTTCTCTTCGTGATATTTTTAATTGAAAATATGCCGCACAGTGCTTTAATTGGACTCGGTTTTCCAATTGGTAACGAAAATATCTCTGGCTTAGTGTAGAAACAGCGTATGTGCCATTAATTTCCCTATGCAAATACGTGTTTTTACAGATTATCACTGGAAAAAAAGAATCTTAAATTTGCCGCCAAAAAGTATTTCTTCTTAAATCAAGAATTTTTCTGGTTAATATAAGCTACTTTTTTGCTTAACCCAAGCATTATTTTTCTTGAATCGAGAAAAAGTCAGCTTAAAGCGAGATAAAGTCAGCTTAAAGCAAGATGAAGAAAATTCTTGGCGGCGAATTCAAGAATTATCATGCTTGATCCAAGCTACTTTTTTTTCAGTGAGCCAGAAATGTTACTTCCTAATTTCAAAATGAACTCCAATGCATACCGTGTTTAGTGGTCCATCAATGCGAATTCAACCAGAAACAGCCTATCCGCATTATTTAACTTATTTTATCGTTTTATTTTGTTTTTAGAGAATCTACTATAGTAACACCTTGAAAATTTCTCCGAATTTTCCTCAAAGTATGAAAAATATGTTAGCAAAATTTCAAGGGTAAAGCTATATACTTGACTGGCATAACTTTGTTAATATATAGTTTATGTTTTTCAGTGTTTTGTTTTCTTGTAAATGAAGTAAACATAAGAAGATACCATAGGCAACGTCCGATTGTGGCAGCATATACTCGATGCGTCACCACGGTTATTATTTTAAGCTTGAAACGGAAGGAATGACGTCATCCACCGTAGTAGCACATACCATGTTATGCACTATACCTTGGTGGATGGCGTCAAAAACCCGACTTTTAAAAGGACGATATCTCGGTTAATATTCAACGTAGAAAGTTGCTGACAGATCTTATTTCAGCTATTCTACAAGAATCAAGCATCATAACACGATTCTGTTACCAGCACAACTGGCCCATTCCCGGTTAACATTATTGTTAAATTGGTTGTTGTGTTTTGTGAAGAAAATGAAACAAGATAGGATCGATATCAGAGAAAAGTAGAACATCTTATGAGTATTTTGGGTTAAAAATGTAAAGCCAAACACGTCAATGGCGGTCTCAAGTTTGCAGTTAGAAAAATGCAGTTTCGAGGAAAGCTATGTGCAATCCTAAACCCTCATATTTAGGGTGAACAATTTACAGATTATACATTGCCGGGTTACGCCCTTTTTTTTGCAAAAAATAATTAAAAATGTAAGAAGAATGGGCTAAGCTGCTCACAACTAATGAGTTAATGGAGTCAAAGAATGCTTTAGTGCATGTGTTCATGAGAGTTTCTTATAAAACCACCATTAGTCCAGTGGCGTGGCGTGCTTTGCGATATATCGATACCACTCAAACCTATGAAAAAAGATCGATTATCAGGGTGTTTGCAGCGAACACCCGAGTAATCGATTCTTTACCATTGTTTCAAATGGCGAGATATCCATAATCGATCATTCACGCCACGCCACTGCATTAGTCCTAGTTGGCATTTCTTGAATTGTAATGCTTCACTGGAACGGAATTATGTATTGTAAGGATATGGGGTTAGTGCTAAGGCAGTGATTGAAGGCAGAGTGTAAATAGAATCAAGAAAATCTTCGGACAATTTTCGAAACTTGCTCCGCGAAAGAGGAAATCCTATGAATTATTAAATCTGCTACACTGAGAAAAAACTATGGTCATAATTACCATATTAGTGGTGTTCAATATGCACTCTTAATCAGTAGTGGCCATAACCAATAATAGTGATATTTTTACTGGAGCAATCGTAATTTTACAAGTGTGAGGTAGTAAAATTACCATTCAATGGTAAAAATATCTCTATTATTGGTATTGGCAACTACTAATTATGAGTTCATATTGAACACCACTAATATGGTAATTATAACTATAATTTTTTTTGAGTGTACTGTTATCATGAGACCGGTTTATTTTTAAAATTTATTTACAATAAATCATTTCACGTAGAGTAAGCTGTTCAAAGTAGGATCTGTTTATTTGTCGAATCGCTAATCGATTTAAAAGCCCCTGGAATCAGTGATTGTAGCCGTTAAACGTAAGCGACTGCTATGCATTTCGAGGTGAAGGACCTAATTTATGACTACTGACCCCATAACTCTTTTATGATCTTGGTTTGCTCGTAATTGAACAAGGTAGTACGAAGGATAAAGGCTGCGTTTCGGATTGCCCCTGGCCTATTCCGACTGGCCCGTTGAGAAACAGTCACGTTTTTGGTCGTTTTTCAAAGCATTGATCCATAAGGACAAATAGCGATCTATATAGATCCGTCTCGATGTACAAGACGAAGTCCATCGGAAACGAATTGAAACAATTTCCATGTATAATGCGATTCTTATGGACCACTAAACGAGGTGCGGTTTTCAACATTCAGAAATATGTTTCTTACTCAAAATGTTACGTAGAGCACAATTAATTCGTAAACATTTTGAACAATGCTGGGCGCGAAAGGAACACTGCTCAGTCAAATACATTGTAGTGCGCGATTTGATCCAAGCTGACCATTGTTTTTCTTGTGAGTGGGGAATTTGAATTTTCCGTCACCATTGTAAACTAAAAACGATAATATTATAGTTAAAAGTTAATCTCAGTAGTTTTGATCGCAAAAATCGTGTTCTACGTGAAATTTCGGTCAGGATACATGTATGAAAATACTCGAATTTGCAACTTTTGTAGCGGTCTATGATCAACTTTTGTCGTTTGTTTCGTATATTCTGGAAACAATCTACACTGAAAGTCGTACTTACGGGCTAAATAGACTTACTGTCGGCGTTTCGGCCTCAGAGGCCGTAAATTCCGGGCCTAGCACTCGGAGCAATCGAAACTACGGCCCCAGCACCTGGAACCTTCGGCCTATGAGCCCGGAACGGACGGCATATCTATAAAGCCCGTAATTTTTCTCTCAGCGTGCGCACCTTACCTGCCGAACAATTAATTAAACCAGCAAACTAACACACAAACAAAGACTACCAATCGTTCCAAATGAATCGAATCCGATTGCTTGTTTACTCTCAGAAAGGAAAGACAAAAGTGTTATTTGTAATGCGTACCAATCATCAAAAAGAGCCTCGAATCGAGAGACTTAAACGAGCGTATAAGAAAGTAAGCAAGTCGGTTACCTGCGATTACTCTCAATGTAGTTTATTGGGGTGCGTCTGTATATGTTACCGAAAAATTCCTATTTTCTGGCAATCCTGGGTTCGCTCAGCAAACTCTAAGTATTCCTAGATAGACCTAGGTTTGCCGAGGTGGTCTTGTGGCAAATCTAGGTTTAGAAGCTAGGAGTTGGAAAGCAGATAAAAAGAGAATATTAAAAAGTGAAAAATTGAGACTTATATCCCTTTGTAATGCCTTCGGTTGAATGTGACTATAAATTTACCATTTTATGAGCATCACTGGTATCCAGACCGAGACATTTTGTCTTATTTACATGGCAGAGGAAGAAAATTTTTGAAAAAAAAAAGCACAGAAAATAGTGATTTGGGAATAGATAGCTGGAACATTTATCAACAGTGAAGACGCGAACCGCTACGGCAATTAATGCAAGTATTTGCGTTTTGGAAGTAAACAGTTCCTCGTCAGAAAGGCAAAAACTTTAATACCGCGTGAATAAAAGTTTCACAAACTTACGACCCCTCCCCTTTCTTTTAAATTGTAATGAAAAAGAAAGTTTGGTGATTTCAAAGTTATGGTATTGTGTCAAAGTATAGTTGCGGTTTTTCTCATGTCACCGCAAAAGAGTCTGTATAGCTTTACCATGGCTCGATATGCAACGGAAGTAAAAGTGAAGAGGTGATCATATCACGCGCGTTTCTTCGTTGTTAAGGAAGTTAACCCAGTCGTTTCAAATGAACGTCCGTGACTGTAGGACGGCACACAATTACACGCGAATCTTAGCATAACTCATGGACTCATTCAGAAAAAAGAAAAAATCAACATCGCTCCTTAACGTTTTCATAGAATTTTCATGCACAGAGAGGAAAAGTCCAGTCAGTTTTGAAAAATTGTCGTTGAGTATAGTCTTCTATTTAAAATTTAAAGTATGATGGGATGTATGCAACGTCGCAAACCGAGATGCGTGGTATGGTAGTTTCGCGATTCTTATATCAAATTGAAATCTTCTTGGTTACAGCGAATTTATTCTTGACTCATACGGAAATGTTGACGACTATTCATCGCACTTAGCAAAAAGGAACCAGCGCGAAGACAGCGTTTTCGGAATAGTGCAACTTCTCCTTTTCTTTTAAAATTATTTAACATATGTTAAGTATTAAAATTCATGATACAGGTATTTCCCTTTAAAATTAACAATTTTTTGGTGAAAAGACAAAACTATTAGTTCTGCTGGGAGATTTTGTAGCTAATTATGAAGAGGCAACATTTTGACAACACTGTAATCACGCTGGGTCCTTTTTGCCAAATGCTGTCCAATGCTAGTCACTTTTTACAGCGAATCCCACGTTTAATTTTGACCCAAATAGATGAACACTCATGAGAACCCCTCCTCCCCTCTTGACGCGGCTGTGTTTTTTTACGATTTGCCCTGGTACCCCAGGAAGGGGGAATATCCCCTGTGAACAATTAATTCCCCCATAAGGTTCTTTTCCGCGACGCGACTGCCCTTTTTTACGGTTTTCCCGGGTATTGAAAGGAAGGCTGAGGGGCATTTTTTTGCCCCTTTTTGAAAATCCTGGTGAAAGTAGAATGTCGGTGAGTGGTGAATGGTGAGTCTCGAGTGGTGAGTGGTGAAGGAAAATTCTTACCTTTGCCGCCATGATTCTGTGTGATGTAGAGGGTGAGTGGTCCGGACGGAGCGTGGAAGGTGAATGTGAGCCCGAACAATTATGACGTTGTATTTATACGGCGAAATGGCCGGGCCTTTGTCCCCGGGTCGGCCCCGTTGCCGCCCCGGCGCCCCGGGATTTCAGCGCAAAGGACGCCCCGACGCCTCCCCGCGCGGCGCCGCGACGCCGGGCATCTCAGTTACTATTCGTGATTTTGCCCGCGACCATTTAAATTATGCGTTCTTCGGCGCATGGGAGGATTGGGCGCATGGTTGCCAAATCGTGCCCGGACGCTTTCACACTTCTCCATAAGTATAAATGTCTGTGTTCGTGGTTACTTTGGGTTAATTTTTTTTTTTTTTGTCGAATGAACCAAAAGGACTCGGTTGATCGACACAACTTTTGGTTGAATCGACTAAAAACGTAGGTCACTCTCAGACATCTGGGGCTGAACTAATGTTTTCTAAGTTTCCCTCTTTGTGACTCATACGTTGGGACTTGTGGGTGACTATAGCACTGAGTTATCACCATTGCGTTCCACGTTCAATTACTCTCGCGCCTGATTTTTATGGAGGTCCCTCATTTTTACTTCAAAAATTTGGTCAATGTAATCCACATGAAGACCAGTCAAAAATGTTTAACCGTGCGTTGAGGTTACTTTGTGTGCTACTTCTCATTTTCACCCAAAATTTTTTTACTGTGATACGATGAAGCTTCAACATTTATCGCAGTTTTTTGCAATGGGACTCTAACGTGTGGAAAAAAATAATTTATACTTTTTCATGGTTAAATCCCTCAAAACAACGTCGAACATTATGAGGTGAAAAAGGTCTAAGATATCCACTTTTAAATACATAGTGCGTTGTGTGTTGACTTCTTTCCAGAGAAACCTAATTTCATTCCAAGGTTAACGGATTGTATGAAACATTTTGGACTTAATTCCTTGAACTCAATTTTTTACCACTTTAGAACATGTTTTGTATCTTACGAGTTCCAGAGGGGCGCCACCTTTAGGATGTCTCTTAATTCGGCAACGTTGCATTGTGATTAAATGCATTTCTACCGTGTGCAACGCTGCAGCATATTGAAATAGTACCAACACCGCCCACGTTCAAGACCCTGTTTGAATAGTGCTAAATTCGATTATTTACAATCCTTCACCGATCAGGATTAACTCATCGACCTCATCCATTCGCGTCGACATGATTTGCTAACGACCATATTCGCAGCATTTAGCCATTCTGAGGCCTTTGAGTTTCTCATGACTTCCTCGGAAAAAAAATGTTTTCTGAAATTTATGGAGCCGGTTGAATTTACACTGCAAACTGGTAATTTTTGTTTCTATTCTGTGGGTGTTATTCTGTATTCACCAGGGGCAAATATTTCTTTTCATTTTTTTATCCATGTTTCATCACATCTCTGTACTTCCCATCCATATCTTAAGAAAATCTTTTGTTCAGCCAAAAAAAGAAGTAAAAAACAAAGAATAAATGAAGGAAAGAAAAGCAATTCTGGTTTTTGATCTCCTGCATCTCCGACATTCAGTGCACCCTTTATGAACAACTTTTATCTACACTACAGCGTGGCATGGTGGATTAAACTAACTTTGTCTCAGAAGTGTTGTGTTTGGTTGATAGAGTTAAACAGTATTTAAATTGATGGCTTTAAAGCGGCCGATCTCGGAAAAATGAAAGGTTTCTACGATGGAGTCAATAGATGATGTTTAAAAGAGACCTTTTCGATTTTTCTACGCAATATTTGTGTTTGAACACCTTAGCACGTTGTACTGCATTACACTCAGCGACGCAACTAGATGTTGTAAAAAAATTAAAATTCCTTTCGAGAAGTTCTAAAAATGTGACGATTCTTCCTAATGTGCATTGAATTTATGAGCTGATTTATTTTTGGACTTGTTATTATTTTCGATAGAATGACCTAAAATGATGTTTCTTTACTGAAAACATCATTCTTTAATGTTCCTAACAGTGTGTCAGTGAAATATGCCTGATTTTGACAATTTATGAGCGAATTTAATTTTTAGACTTTCATGGAATGCCTCAAAAGTGTAATTAAAAAAAAAAAAAAAAAAAAAAAAAAAAAAAAAAAAAACCTCCGAGTTTTGGTGTTGAGTTTTTGGGTAATCTTTACGTAGATTATGGCGATCCTTTCACACAGGAGTTTACCGCCAAAAACAGTTTGTTTTCGATTTTTTGACGTGTCAGGTTTTAGCATCAACTGCTTCAATTGACTGTGATGTGGCCTTGATACAGTTTACTTTGTGTATTGCTGCATGCTATCGCTCACTCACCAATCAGCGGGCGTGATGTGAATGAATGACCCACAATAAATTGGGGATCTCATAAACATGTGATGAGTGAAAGGTTTAAGGCGGAGGGGGGTACATGTTCAAAAATAATGATTAGCATCTCTGGACCAAAAGCTGCCGAGTTTATATTCATTTGTGCTGCACCGTGAAAAGTTGCTCGTTGTTGCCAAATTTGACAGGTTAAAAATGAGTTCACGCTCATTGATTTAGATCGTTTTGTCAGATCAGCTCCAGATGAGTTCATCTTACTGATGACATCTGTGGTGTCCTGTTCTATGAAATATCGGTTTTATAAGCCAGTTGCAGTATTGCTCAGCAACGTCCGAAATTATTTCATGTTTATATGAATCGTAATTATGGGTGTGCAATATTTCCTGGACGTGGAAATTTCTTTTCTCGGTACGTTTCGTGTACCTCACCGTGACTCAGATCCACCCTCAAACCAATGAAAGTGAAGAAAGGGTTTGGTTACGAGAAAAAAAGCTCTATTAGATACACTAAGCGTTTTGAGAAAAATGGAAGACTGTTGCTTACGGTCCCTCTGAAAGGAAAGCCATCACTTCGAGAAACCAGAAATAGACCAAATAGATTCAGCAAAGGGGTGAGCGGCTATGGGCAAGTATAATGAAAATTGTGCCCGACCTTTTCGTAAACGCAATGACTCGTAAATTTACAGGGTAACTTAGGCCTATCTTGAAGCTTTCAGTTTTTTAGGGGGTGGAGGGGGGTAGGGAGAGGGGGGGTTATAAATAAGTAGTAACAAGTTAGAAGATTCGATACAAGTATTAAAGTTGTGCAGCCTGTTCCTTAATAAATGACCCTTTTAAACGAGCAGGTCTTTCCATCTTTTCATGGTTGTATCCAACCGTGGGAATTATTATCAACCCAAAATAACTGAAGACTGAAAACATGGTTATCAGCGGTTTTCGCATGACACAATTCAATTATATTTTCCATAGCTGAAATTATTGCGGAGGTCATATTCTCCTACGGGCTGATTGTTAAAATTGATGGACAAAGCTGTAGACGAAGAAGACATCGGGAGTATGGAGCTATCCTTTTGGTTTAAATGGATGGTTCTTACAGACTAGAAGTAAATGGTGGACTAACTATAGGGTCTCTCGTGGGTTGCCGTTAGTCAGTCTAATATATACCTGATACCTCATTAGCCCATTTCAATGTCCTCAGCACAATCGCTCCATTTTCCTATTTTCTCATTTGCCTAACGCTTTGATCGACAGATGAGACGTTAATTGTTAGACAATCAGTTCCAATAATCAACCCGATGGCGAGTCTGATAAATCAGCAGAAACATTAACGTCTTTAATCGGGAGAAAAAGGGGTAGTATTACAGTGCCGATGGCGTTGTGTCCCAATGGATTTCTGGTCATGGCTCTTTACGAAGTAAAACTTCACTAAGTTACTAAATAGGTTAGGTGAATTGTTTTACTCGAAAAAAACTTTGTCCATCAATTTCAACATTCAGCCCGCTGGAAATTTTGTACATTGGACTCAAAATCGTATATTTTCACCCTAATCGTTTCTGAGAAATCGTTGACCTGGGGCACTAGTCAATTTATTGTTATTTTTGGATTGCACGACGTGGCAGATGTGTGAAGTTAATTCTTTTTCGCCGGGATTTTGGGAGCGGGTTGAGCAAGCAGACCTGGAGTAGGGCTAAGCGCCGCTGGCGGATCGGTGGCGGGTTTGGGCTGCACATTGTGAGAGATGGGAGTGACCATCATTATTCTATCGGATCTTATATAATATCCGTGGCAGTTCTCACATTTACTGAGACGGCATGTCTAGGCGCAATACGCGTCATTGCGCGCACAGTGGCGTACAGATTTCAACACGCTCGTATATTCAACGATCTTTGAATTTGCACTGCACAGAAAAAAATGGATGGTGCTGGCGACAGAACCTTTTGTTCATACGGCTCCCACAGTTTCTTTGTTACACTTACAGAACTTTCTGTCGTGGGAACAGAGTACTCTGTTCCCACGACAGAAGTTCTGTTCTCACAACAGAAAAGTTCTGTAAGTATAACAAAGAAACTGTGGGAGCCGTATGAACAAAAGGTTCTGTCGTCAGCACCATCCATTTTTTTCTGTGTGAGAATAATGTGCCACTGAAATAAGCCGTGACAGGAATTATTCTCGTTGAATGAACCGGAAATCAATTTAAAGCTCTCTTACTTCTTTTATTTTAGCGCATTTATATAGGCCCTACACAGAAAAAAATAGATGATGCTGACGACAGAGCCTTCTGTTCACCGGGCTCGTGCTGTTTCTTTGTTACACCTACAAAATTTTTCTGTTGTGAGAACAGAACTTCGGTCGTGGGAATAGAGTACTCTGTCCTCATAACGGAAGCTTCTGTGACCGTTACAAAAGAAGTGCAGGAGCACTGTGAACAGAAGTATTTTTTTCAGTGTAGGCCTAAGAAAGAGGTTGTCCCATCTCTCATCAAGTTTAGACCCCTATTGAAAATAATCCATACTTTCAGGGATGATTCACTAGGGTGGCCCAATTATTATCTTGTTTCACATTCTAATCTTGACCCATTTAATAAAAAGAATTAGGTGCCAGATTTCAATCAAATCGGATAGCACTAACTAACCTTTGTCTGTGGTTAGGTGGTTCTCAACTAATTTTTAGCTTGAAAAATATTCTTTTCGAACGAAAATGATTTCAGAAAACTGCAGGCTAGGTTACGCAGGAAAAATTAGAAATGTTCTGCTTCAGCAGAAAAAAACA